TAAAAATTTTGTTATTTGGCATTTGTTTAGGTGTACATATAAAGGTACCAAATTTTGTAATTTTATCTATTCTGAAATATTAGGAAAAACCCTTTAAAAATCGTACCTTTTTAGGGGGTGTAGCTCCCTTTCATAGCATTTTTCGAAACACTTGTCTTAAAATTAAATATTTTATCAAGTATTTAAATTTGTACCTAAGAATAAAAATGAAACACTGTATAATTAACACATGAAAAATTAATTCACAAAAATTTAAAATTAACTCACTAAAATAACAAAAAAACTAAATTTTTAACACTTATAACACTATATAACAAAGTGCTCAGCATTTCGGGAGGGGGGGGGGTTTGAACCCCCTAATCCCCCCCCTTGGGTACGGCCCTGCTAATTAGTAATATTATTTTCATAATAATGTGCATCGAAGTAGTCGTTGCAAGGGATCATTTTAAGGTGGCAACCATGCGAAAATTCAAATAGTCCTAACCTCAATCTTCCCTAAAATTATTTTTTCAAATAAATGTGTGCCCTAAGTATCGAAAAAATAATTACAATTAACAACATAATTGACATAGGGGTGACAAACATAATGATTTTTGTCATTATTGATGTGATTAAATTTGTTTGAAATGACATTAATGACACTTTTTATGTGAATCAGCCTTTAAATTAAAGATGCATTTAGACTTCTACAACCTACTTGATGTACATTAATATGAAAAAGAGAATATCTCAGACTCGAGCCATAATTATGAAATGGTTTAGGAATTGGTAGAAAAATTGATACATTGGTTTACCAATAGATGTCGCGACTAAATATTTACATTGGCGCCAACTTAGAATTGACTAACTTTTTAATAAATTTCAGAACCTGATATTGAAAAACAACTTTATCGAGGATATTACTGGTCTGCGCACCCTAACAAACCTCTGGGTGCTCGACTTGAGCAATAATTGTCTCGTGGACCACAAGTCTCTAATCGCTATATCCCACTTGGCCGCCCTACAATGGCTCAATTTGCAAAGCAATCCTTTGAGTTTTCACCCGAATCATCGAAATCGCACTGCCAGTTACCTCCACATGAACACTGCGACAACTCATTTTGTGTTAAACAACGTCGTTTTGAGTAAAACCGAGAAGAAATTAGTCGGTTCCTACTACCCTCTCCAAATGAGGAGTAACAACAGTTTTTCGACTGACTCTTTGAGTTTGACGACGGAGAAGGCACGGAGAGTGCGCCATGTGGTGATTGAGGAGGAGAATTCGGTGAGGGAGAACAGTATTCCGTCATTGCCACCCACTCCGAAACAATATTTGGAAACAAAGAAACAAATTGAGAATTTGCATGAAAAGTTTGGAGAGTCATGGCTGAATTCCCAGTCGGGGTTGTTGGATGTTTTGGGGTTGGAGAGTTTCTCGCTTCCTTTGAGTACAAGTCCATATGAGGCCGATTTTACGATTTATTCCGGGGATTTTAGTCAGGAGCCGGTGAAAGTGACCAAGGAGGTCGTGGTTGAGTCCATTGACCACATCAATGAAGAATATGAGAAAAAAATTGAAGTGCTTCCAGACGAACCAGATATCGAAGGAGAAGAAAGCATTTATTTGGCCACTGTCAAGTCGGAAACTGATCCAATTTTTATAGTCATTGGGCAAACACACCTCTCTGAAAGGGAGTGTTCCACTGGGAATGAAAGAGAAAAGTGGCATCTAGACAGCATAACCAAGTGCGAAATCTTAGATGAGGAGTTGACAACAGTTAGAGTTGATTTCGAGACGATGAGGAAAAGCCGCAAACAACGAATTTATGTCTTCGAGGACGAAATAGAAGCCTTTGTCGCGTGTATAAAAAATAAAATCAATTCGCGATCGCCTAAAAAAAAGGACGATGTTAAGTATCAGTGCATGAAGTGTTCAACTGTGTTCGCCAAAATAAAAAACGAGTCGATTTTGGGGGAATCCGCTGTTAAATGTCCAAGCTGTGATAGTACTTTGGTGGTAGAAGAGGTTTAATTGACTGATATATCTTTAATTAACAAACAACAAATTTATCCTTCAATTTATTTCATTTTTATACAATATTAAATAAATAATGTAAATACAGGATCAGCTGCGGTTATTTATTTTTAAATCCTGTGATATACGGTCAGTACCTGTCGTTCAATCTGTACAATTCAACAATAAATAAATATAAAACAAATAACCCATAACCTTAAAATTCTTCTGATTAAAACTCGTTACTTGTTTTCTTCATTAAAATCCGACGTTTCGGTATTGAAATCCGTGATAATGAACCAACTGGGCACTTGCCACAACTGTGCCACTTTCGCTTCCATGTTCCTCTCGTGTTCTTTCAAACTACTCAAATCATTTTTCAGTTTACAGTGCCTTTGTCTTAACGCATTTAATTGTTGGCAGAGTGCACTTTGTGCCATTATTGTCTCCTGAAGCTTCCTTTGCAACGATTTGATTTCTTTCTCCCGCTCTAGAATTTCAAATAAGTACCAACACAAATCTAGGGGAAAACATACTCGCAACTGCTGCGACTAAATTAACCATGGAATCAGACACCGAGTTTGATTTTTCTTCAGGTTTTGATATGCTAGGCATTGCGTCGAGGCTCGACTCGTCCAAAGACGTGCTAAAAATGCCGCTATCGGACGCCGAGAGGTCCAATTCGCGTTTGATGTCACCTGCCACCGATTGGGTATGTTGGCGGCCCTGTAAATGCTCGCGTTTGTTGTGCAGGTTGTGGAACCACTGGTCGCACGTTCGGCAGTACAACTCCTCGTTATCCTCCTCCTGACAAGAATTAATGATTAATTTTGAACATTTTTGTGATTTCTGAACAAATGAAGCGCCCTCTTGCGGAGAGCGGGAAACGACAGTTCAAACATGGCGGCCATGTTAGTTTGACTGTTTCGAAATTGTGGATTTTAGGGTAAGTTTCTCATACTTACATCTATTTCATCAGTGGCGTCCATGTCGCTCTCTGATAACACGTTGTTTTGTAACCGATTCCGCCGCTTTTTCGCCAAATACGCGCGATATGCGTCTGATTGCCTATACTGTTTTAGTTCCTCTCTATACCGCCTTTTGTCCTCCTCGGCTTTGGCCAAATAGGGCCTTTTCTCCTCTAAACTCAAATTCGACCATTTGTTCCCAATAACTTTGGTAATTTCGTGAAAGGCCAGTTTACTGTCCTTAAACAACTTCCGCTGTTCATTAAGATAGAGATTATATCCAGTCGCGGGTGCTTTCGGCGGTAAATTCTTCAATTCCGGCTTGCGTTTCCGGCCTTTGGGCCATCCCCCGCGCCTTTTTGGGGGTTTGTGAACGTCAATGTTGGTAACAGGTGGATTGGGGACAACTTCACTACTAACTGTCAAAATATGAAGTAAAGTTTGCATTTGAAAAATTTCAAATTACCTACCTGTTTTTGGTTCTGATTTAAAATCAGGAGGTAAAGACTTGACTGGGAGAAAAGTAACAATTTTGGTGTCTTTAGTAACATTTGTGGTTGTCAGTTCCGAGTTTGATAGTGACGTGAATGTGATATAGCTTGAGGAGGTGCTGGGGGTTGAAGTGACGCTCACATCACTACATTCACTGGAGAACCCATCACTGTCGAGGTTTATGGACGACTTTACACAAACTTTGTCCTTGCTTCCAACGTTCTGTTGCGAGATTAACTCATTTGCGACTTTTTTCAGGTCCTCTACTGATAAATTCAGACCTGACGATATTGCGTCATTTAAAGACATGCAAACCACGCTAAAATCATATAAATTGTTAAAATAACATCGTAGACTTGTCGGTATTTACCCCTTGCCAGTCTCAACAAGAATTCCATTCTGTAACAAGCTATAAGCCTCATCTATGGTCTCGTAGCCCAAAACATTTTCTTCCATATTTGACTGTCTTTTTGGTTATGTTTCAAGTCTTCAATTCATCAACTACAAGTCGGGGTTAAATAATTAATTAACAAAAAAACAAAAAAATATTAAATTAATTTCATATTGTCTTCAATGGCCCGCCTTACCATCTTTTTCTTGCTTATTGTCAAATGGAGCATGTGCAACAATCGGAGTGCAATAAATTACACTTGATGGTGATATTAAACGATTTTCTCGATTCGTAGCGTTTGATTATTTTATTTCTTCGGTGAAACGGTGGGTTTAGGGCGTCATGAACCCTTAAATATTTAAAAATCGCTATTAAAACTTCGCAATAAACCACAACAACATGTTAACACGTGCTGCCATTGTTGGCAGTTTGACGAATCAAAAGGTAATGGCGCCTAATTCAATATGTGATTTCTAGTTTTGGCAAACATAAACTAAAAATTGTATATTAACTCAATAATTACACTAAACAACCTATGTTCGGAAATGCTTACAGCCTTCTGATGGCGGACAAAAGGCTTTTTTTTAGTTATCTCAGTAACCGGTTGACATAAATTTACGAAAGATTACATCTGAAGAAATTTTTTGAATCTGAATTTATTGGTGATTTCAAAAATTTTGGACTTTTTAAGGTGGCGAAGTCACTGGGGTAAATTTATTTGAGGCGTAATTTTTTTTTGGATGAAGTTTTTTTTAATTTCTTGACAGATTCGGATTTATTGGAAAATTTTCTTCAAAAAATGTTTCTTTTGTTATTTTTGTACGATGCACCGATTTTCAGAAAAAAATAGATTCTCTTAAACCGAGAACTTAAACAGTGTTTTGTGACTTTTGTATATTTGGGTTGTGTGAAACACTCTGTATAGTTATAATAAGTTAGGTCTTGTTCAATAAAAATACTTTAAAGATGGCGGTACGGTATTAACTTCGATGTTTTCAATAGAAAGCTATATTTTGTTGTGTTTTTGGATTACTCAAGTGATTTTGAGAGAGTTTTCATCAGCTTCCTCTATACCTAAGTTTTCGAAATACAGGGTGATTCTTAAATAGACCGACAAAAACTTATCCTTGGTAGTATCAAATGAGAACATGCTGGATAAAATATTTAAAAAATTCTTTGTTTAACCGTTCTCCAAATAAAATTTATTAAAGTTATTTTCAAGGTAAAGCGTACGCCACTGATGTGTTCGTAAATAGTATTAGCACAGGTAGTGGAAACCATGGTATTAATTTGATCAAAATGTACTTGATCATTGCAACAATTCATAAGCGCCGTAAGTGGCACGGATCAAGGGGGTTTTGCCCCTACAAAATATAAACGTAAAAAGGGTACAGTTTGTCTCCATTTGTACTAGGGAAGCTGTGATAAAATTTTGTCGGTCTATTTAAGAATCATTCTGTATGTAGACGTTTCTGTACCTAAAAATAAGTGAAACCGTTTTTTTTTTCTAATAATAACATTTTTTGAATTTTTTTGGACTTGCATCTTTCTATTTAAAAATCGATAACTCTACCGCTTTTTAGTATTTTAAAATCGTATTTGGGCACATGAAAGAAAAAGGTTAGATCTTTTCTTTGGTGTATCCATAATTGAAAAAATAATTAACAAACCACCACAATTTAAGGTTACATTTAGGAAACTTTAAATAACCTTAACTCATTTTTTTTAAATAATTCGCTCATTTTTTTTCCCTAAATGGAGAAGAATTTAACGGAATTTAAGAAACGTTTGATTTTGGTAATGAGGCTATCCCAAATTTTTGTTACTTTTAAAGTTTGGGACTAATATTGAGTAAAAACTGCTATTTTCTGCTTTAATAAAACAGTTTCAGGGTTGTCAAACATTTTTTTTAAGTCGTTTCAGGACAAACAGTAGGTACTTTTTTTATTTGTACAATCAATTATTTTTTAAGTATATGTTATAATTACATATTTAAATAATAAAATTTGTGCATTGTTTTTTCTTTACAAAAGGTCACTTGCTTTAAAAATTATAGCCATCATCTTTTAATTATATTCAGGTTACTTGTTTCTCCGCTTGACACACTTTCAAAGCTGTGACACTTTAATATGCAGAAGAACGGCCTTGCACTCGAATGCCTACTTTTGTATCCTCTTATCACCAAACTATAGAAAGTTGTTTACGTAGAAAAACTCTGCCAAACTTCTAGTAGCCTATAATTATGATTTTTTTCTTCTGTGATGGGTATAATAAATTCGGCTGGGAGCTTTCACTGTTTTCTTATCCCAATTATTATTGCTTAGAAAGTAACGACACACAAAAACCAAAAGTAAGTAAGTAACAAAATATTTATTTATGCAAAACAACAATAAGAAACAAATAAATAAATAATAAATAGAATAAATTATTACGTCTTTGGCTGGAGTCTATGTCCGAAAGACTCGTCTCCGCTTTGATTCACTTCTTCTGGAGCTAAATCATCTTGAGGATACTCGTCGTAACTTTCATCATCGGCTTCTTCACGTTCTTGACTTTCTTCTTGGACGTAAATAGGCTCTTGCCCACCTTTCCCAATCTGCATCAAATTACTGTTCAATTTTCCAGCAGCTTGCAAAGATGCTAATTTTTCCGCTGCTTCTTTATTCGGAAGACTCACGTAAAAACCCTCCGGAATTGAATTATTCTTCTCACTAGGCTTGGCGTCAGGTTCGACGTTGTTTTTAGGCTTAGAATCGAAATAATTTTGGACGTATTGTGATTGAATTATCGATTCAGAAACGTCAGGTTCGAGGTTGTAGGTGGCGGTGACTTGTGAGGAGGGTTCTTTTCTTGTTTCCTCAAAACTGCTCTTGTCCATCGCGACGTGTTCAGGGGCGACTTGCTCGACATAGTTTTGGGGTTGTTGAGAGAAGAGGGAAGAGTATTGGAGGTAGTCTTGAGGGTCTTGGACGACGGGAACTGCGATTGTGCCACCTTGGGAGTAAGCGTTGAGGAGTTGGTAGAGTTCGGTGGGGTTTTGGTAGGCGGTTTCATAGTAGTTTTTAAAGAGGGTGGGTTTGGCAAGTTCGGGGGCTTCGGTTACTTGGTATGAGTGGGATTTTTGGACTTGGACGTAGGAGGTGGCCTCGGGTTGTCTCTGTTGTTTCACCTGTGTGCGACAATAGTAATAATCAATTTACAATAAATGGTTGTTAATGTGTTTTTAAAAAGAATTGAAAGAATTTTTTATTCAGATTTTGGAAAGAACTTTTGTGTAAATTCAAATTTTGTAAATTTAAAAATAAATATAGAAATATAAATCTACACAAAACTGTTTTCTGGATATTAAAAGGTCGTTTTTATTTATTTCTTTTCTCTTTTTTTTTTATTCAGGCTGTCGCAGCGAGTTGGTACTCTATTATTGACCTTTAATTGTTAAAATTTTAATAAATTTATATAGGAAATATAGGAAACTCGAAATTAGTGCATCGCCTGAAATTATTTTCAACTATACAGTGTGTCCCAAAATAAATTACCATATAAATTTGTATTTTTTCAAATGAAACATTACATGTTTTTTGGCATTTTTGGATGTAGCTTTTAATTCCAACGTTTTTAAACTATAAACTTCTATTGGTCGATTATGCTTAGTTTTTGAAATAAGTTGTTTTTTTTTTTGGCAAAATCAAATTTATTACAGGCTTTACACTTTGCATAGCAATTTAAATATACAGGGTGTTTTACAATTTGCCTAAAAAATTGATCTATTTATTAAATATGTAATTTGCTAATTTATTTACCGATTTTATTAAATTATTTATTAAATATCGGAAGATTTACTTCTACTTATCAATGTTTTTTACTTATTAGTGCTTATACTCGTATTAGAGGGCTAAGCTGAGACTGTTTCGGTTATTTTTTTTGTAATTAACATGAGATTTTTTATTGGACTTTTAGTTCTAGAAAAAAATAGCTTTATAAATATTTATCGAAAGAAAACGGTTCAGAAATTGTTAAATTTGACATAACTGGCAGATGTTGATATTACTATTCAAGACGTACCTTCATGAAATTTACACCGCAGTCTTAATAGACGTTTTTTTTATAATAAACTTTGTATAATTTTAATAACGACATGTTTCAAAATGTGCTTTATAGATAAAAAAGCATTGTTTTTGTTATAATATTGTTTATCTACAACCGGAGTTAATTTACAGCATACAGGCGTAAGGAAGCATTTACTAAAAGTATTGTTGATTTTACTTTGGGTCGTAGATAAAACGTCATAATAATATAACAAACCTCTAGTATTTTAGCTTTCACAATTAACAAAAATTATTATTGAAAATGCTAAAAGTTTTTTTTCTATGTATCAAAAAATCTTAGTTTAAATTACAACAAAATTATAAAATTGCTTAAATGCCTAATAATCTATTTTGCGAATTATAAACTCGTGTAAAATTGCTGTAAACTTAAATAATAGGTATAAATGCTTTTTTATCGTGAGCGAAATTATAGCAGATGGCGAATTTCACAACTTAAAAATTTTGTTGAATAATTGTTTCAAATTCAAAATCTTTTTTTTTTTCAAACTTATAACTTTTAAATTGCAGTAAACGAATTGTTTCTACTACTATACAAAAATACTTGATTTTTGAATAACTTATAGATAGAAAACAGATTGATTATTATTTAAAATTGTTTCTATAAAAAAAATAATTTTGAAAATAAATATTTTTTTAGTTTATTCTGAAAACTTTTTTTATTCTAGAAAAATCGACTGAGAAACATGTCTAAATAAATTTGTGTAGTAACAGAAAAGTACAAAAATGAAATAATATTTGGTAATAATAGAAATTTCCAACCTCTTTGAGAAATGTCAAACCAATAGCAAGTAAGCGAGTAAATACTTTTCAAATTTTAAACTAAAAGTAAATTACCGTTCAATAATTTATAACACTATTTACAAATAATAACTTGTTTAATATCTCGTTACTTAAATTATTTTTATGTTTATTTACTTTTAATTAAACAAAAATAATAATTACGAGTATTTTTTTTTATTACTTCACAGTTTTTTGTTACGAACGATAATTTTCCTAATTTCTGCACAAATGTCTCCGATTTAAAATTTAAATTGTTGCTGAAGTATTGCAAAATTACCACCAGATTTAGACAAATGTGCCTTAAAATTCGTTTCATTGACTCGTATTTGGACTTCTTTTCTAAAAACTCAGGCAGCATGAGTGACGAACAGAGGGAACGTTTTTACCAAAATTTGAAAGATTCAAAGATCGACACAAAAGATTAAAAAGTATAAAAAACAAAGTAAAACAACTCATTTTTAATTTGCTGTTTGGCGGTTTTTGTGTTTCCATAAATCTATAAGAAATTATAACTTTCAGCTAAAGTATAAACCAGCGTAATAAAAATAGACTGTGAGTTGATATTAATTTGGCAACGTTGAATATACTAGAAACAGAATAGTACATTACAAGCGAGGTGGTAAATATGGCATTATCCCGAGTGCTTATGTATACGATCGAGAGGCGCTAGCCTCGAGATCGGATAAAGCACAAGGAGTAATGCCATTACCATCGAGGTTTGTATGCTATTTTATTCACAATCACATTATTTTAAGTCAAAAATTTGACTAAAATAAAATTCTAACAAAGTTAAGGTCCAAACGTGGTAGGCCATCCAAATGACGTTTGATTTTTGACATTTTAGAAATGTCAAAGAAAATATTGAAATAATGTGTAAATCTGATTTAAAGTCATCGAAATGGAGCAATGTACTCACCCAGAATTAAGAGAAACTGCTACAAAAGCAATTTATACTAATTTAGCGAAATATTATGCGTAACTTGACAATTTAAAAGAAAAAAATTCAGGTATTTTCGTAATTTTAACGTTGGCAATCCTGCATATTACCACCCAAGAGGAGTAACATTTATTACTCTTCATGAGAAATAATGACATGTTTCCCAACCTTAAAAAGGTTAGTAATGGGCATATTACATTAGTGATTGTGAATAAAATATGTTTCTTGTCAACTTAATTTCAAAGAGAGAGGTCACTTTGATTAGAAATCTAATTGATCGCGAGGTATTTTAGGATAAAAAAAAATATTTAAAAATTAAAGGGCTTGTTTTATAATGCCAGATTGAAATAAGATATTTATTTTAAAGAAATAAATAAAACAAAATTTGTCTACTACTGTAGTTAGAGTGAATACAGTAGTAAAAATAATGTATTCTACTCGCAAGTATGGCTGTGATTTTTTGCGCTCTTTCTTTTCTTTTACACAATAATATTGTTTTAGAAAATCTGACGAATTGTTCAAAACTTTGTATAAATAATACAGATAAACCCACTTGACAGATTTCCTAACGTTGTTTTATATGAATTTGCATAAATTTAAACAGTCCAAGGTTTTTGGGACAAGATTATTTTCAAAATCATTCATTTTATAATTACTAAAATAGAGTGCGAAAAAAGAAAAAAAACTACAAACCTCTTCTATCACTAACGGTTGTCTCTGCACGTGTTGTTTCACCTCTTCCACCACCTTTGGCTTATCAGCAAGACTCAAATTGGGTGCTGGAATAGTGTGTATGGGTCCTTTTTCCCCAATCTGTTTAATCGTTTGAATCGGTGCAATATTATTACTCTGAATTTGCAAATCATAATCTTGGGCTACAGCAATCGCCGGCGACGACTGGAAAACCTTCTTAGGAAACACCGGCGCCGAAGTCATGAAATGCTTATGATGGTGATTGTAATTCTCCACTGGCGTCCTAAAGGTCGTTTGAGTATTTTTCCAGAAATTCCTCACTGGCACCGCCACCGGTCTGTTCACACTCGCCGCCCCCATTTGGATTTGGTGATGCTTGGGCATATGCAGTGGGATGGGTCGCGGGCGGATCGGGGGCCTCGGGGGGTGCTGTTGCCATTTCTTGGCGAATTGCTGGAAGGGGGGCGGTTTGGGGAACGGGGGCGGTCCGCGGTACTTCGGTCGGGGGTATTCGCAGGTTGTCAGAGTTGCAGTCAGGAGGATGGAGAGACAAATGGTCGAAAACTGAAACCAAAATAGGGGGAGGTCATGGTAGTATTCAATGACCTGGATATTAGAAGCGCTATTTTTGTGCAAAATGGTGAAATCGGATGGGGAAAAAATTCAGGTCAGTGTGTGGACGGTTTCTTCCTTCCGGATGGGTTCAAATTGATGGGTTTTTATTGGGATCAGTTGTGGGTCATTGGACTCGACCAAAACCGGATGGGTATGTGACTTGGGTGGTAATGACATACGGTGATATGGGTGTGCGTGATAAACGGACAATTCTGAATGGTTTTTAGAACAATTTTGAGAAAAGGGTAAAATTTAATCAAACCGAAAAAACATTTAAACACAATTATCTTATAAAATAAATTGTAAGTAATAATTTTGTTTAGTTTTTTTTTAATTCACTCTGTTTGTGATGAAGTTGAATGCTTTTTTATTATGCATTATGTCTGTGGCATGTTTTTTAAAAGTTTATTCTTATTTACGATACAAAAGAATAAAAAATTATAATTAATAATATAATAAAAAATTAAGTGCGTTTTTTTTTCTACTGTGCTTTTAATTATATAAAAAGTTTTTAATTAAAATAGCCTAAAATGTAAAAAATGTCTTTATTATAAAATTTTGCCAACTTATTTTTAAATTCACAGGTCACTTTGATGAGAAATTTAATTGAAGGCTTAATACAGTTTTGTACCGTCTAAGACGTGAGGTCACATTTTAGTAAATTTTAAAATTTGCGTGAAAAATAATTTTAATTAAAAAAAGATTTAGATCATACAAATATAAAATTTATTTAAAATTTGATATTTTGATATTTTATTGGATTTTTTAATGTAAAAAGGAAATTACGTTTTAAAGGTAATTTGAAATGCTTATGTTGAGCCTTAAAAAGATTTTATCAATTTAGTATCTGTTTTAGTAAAAATTTTAAGGTAATTTTATTGATCGACTGCAAGAAGAAATTACTTATTTAATTTTGATTTTTTTTTAACCAAAACACACAGGTGCGCCAGAACTCGCGCCCGAGAGAAAAATTTCAAGTAAGATAAGATACCAGGACCATGAAAAAAATATTTAAAAAATTCTATCTGTCAAAAAAAATTTGACATTTATTTTTTGACATTTGACATTTTTTATGTCTATTTAATGATACTGATGATCTTGTATATGTTTTTTTACAATTATTTAGTAAAGGTACCAAAATTTTGCCAATAAAAGCCACAAATAACATTGAACAGAGTTACAATTTAGGCTATAGCTTCCTTGTTTCCTCTTTTAATAGTCTATAGCAAAAAAACTTAGAAAATTATTTTTCCAACAGAAATAAATAGAGTCAAAGTGCAAACTTTAAACCCTCATAACTTCAAAATTTTTCTATATAAAATTTTTTTAACATTTTTTCCATGTTCCTGGTATCTCACTTTATATGGCATTTTCCTCTGAGGCGCGAGTTCTGGTGTACCCTGTATTTTAACACAATAGCAAATTTAAGATGTTTTTAGTAACAGTTGCCTAATTTTTTTGTCGACTTTTTTAGTAATATAATTTTTGAAATTAAATTAGGTATTGTAAAAAAAAATCCAAAATTTATTTTTAATTATTGAATTTATTATTCAATTTATTCATTGCTATTATACAGGCTGAATATAAAGTATGGAACCAAGCGGTTTTATTTTTAATCATTTGCCTCCGGAAAATAATAATTAATATAAATTAAAGCAATATAAAAAATGTGATCGTAATTTCAGAACGAAATTTTGTTTTGTTTTTGAGTTATGAGATTTTTTTTGTCAAAATTGCAATTTATGTGAAAAAATTTTTTTGAAAAATTAAAAATAAAGCAGATAGTTGTAATCCTTAGAGTATAGCTCTTATGAGAAAAATGATTTTACAGTGGGTTGCCATTTAAAAAAAATAATTTTTTTGTAGAACTCAAAAATAAAAGGAAATTTCGAAAAATTGTATTCTTGTTAAATCATCACATTTTTATAGTACTTAGTACTTACTTAGTACTTAGTACTTACTTAGTAGGATAATAAGCAACTAGAATTTAAAATTATTTTTTTTTAGTTTTTTGATAATTATTATTCATCAATTTCTTTGTAATTTTAATTTGTGAACTCATTTATTGTGGTGTAAATTTTAAGAACATTGAAGCAATAGCAAATTAAATTTCAAAAATATTTAATAAAAATAAATAATAATATAAAATATGTGCACATTATTGTTTTAATGATAATACATAGGAGTAATTAATTGGAGTTAAGACAAATTTGTATTTTTTTAAGAAAAACTTAGGTTATCAGTGACATTGTGACAAGTGCATTTTGATGAAAAGAAAAAAAATATTTTTTTTCTAACTTAAATACGATTACCTAACTCATTATAAAAAATACCTATACATACTTTGCTTTGTCAGTAAAATTTTGATTTTGATTTCACCAACACACTTTATATACAGTATGTCTCCGGATTGGGTTTACAAGAGGAAAAAAAATTATCTTTGATTTTACGCCAAAACTACAAAGGAAAAATATTTTTTGCTTTACCTAAAACCAGCAAATCTGCAATTAAAACTTTATTATTCTAACTAAGAGGAAAAAAAGTTATTTTTTTTTCTTGATTTTGGACATTTCTCTTGATTTTTCTCTGCTTTTTAAGTCCTATCACATTGGCGGTTTTATTATTTTGACAATGATGTCACTTTGACAAATGAGTTTAGGCAAGTTAAATGACGAAAATGTTTGTGAAAAACATAATTTTAATAAAAAGCAACTCACAGAAACAGCTTTAAGATAATAACCAAAGTCATTTTTAACAAGAACTATCATTATTGTCAAAGTATCATATAGTTGTCAAATAAATAAAATCGCCAATGTGATAAGACTTAAAAAGCAGAGTATAGAACTCTGTTTTTATTCTATTAAATTAGATATACCTACTTATCTATCAGATAAATTATTTAAAAAAAACTTATTCAAAAAATTATTTTTTAAAAGTTTTAATTTTTTTAAGTATATGCTTTAACTACTTTGTACTTTTGCAAACACACTGTAAGTAGGTTTTGTACTATTTGTACTACCATATTTTATAAATCATTTAACATCGAACTGAAACTCAGTTTTGAAACGAAGATGTGTTTCTTTGGTTTAAAAATGTATCTAATTTTTTATTAAATTTTCTAAAATGAAACAACTCAAATTTAAAAATCTGTCTTATCAAGTTGAGACCCGGAGCTGTGCCACAATGCTCATTTCTCATGTACTAGAAACCTTCTGAAAGCCCGATTTGGCATTACTTCTAGGAATTCTTCCACGGCAAACACAAAACGTGATAAATACCTTCATTTTTTTCAAAATCGAAGAAAATTCGTAACAGGAAGCATGTATATGGTCAGTAGAAGAAGAAGCACACTTAAGTCGGCCACTGCAGTTAAAACACACTCAGTAAACTGAACAATTAGGTCAGTGAACCAACTTATATATCGGCGAGAAGACATTCAAATTCCAAATCTTCTCTCACATTAAATTTCCGATTGCGGAGAAAACTAATCTAGTAACGTTGCAATTATCATTACAATTTTACCAACTGTTACTTTTTCGCATAAGTTTAATGGTTTGAACGTGATGCTAATTTTTGGAAAGAGAATTTACTTACGGTTTTTAAGTTGTCACACTTTTGGTAGAGACATGTGCGTGAGAAACGGTTAATTGGATGGGCTTTAGAGTTTCTAATCTAATTGGAGCAACGGTGAGGTTGAATTTTTTAGCAAATGATGTACTTAATAGTGACCTCTGTGGAAACCTTTCACAGATTTCTTAAATGTAAAAGTTTTTGTAATTAATTTTTTTGAATTTATGTACTTGTATATGTGATTTACACAAGCAGAACGTTTCATCTAAGATTTCCAAAACTTGTATCTATTATCATTGTAACATAGATAACCAATTAAACGTCAAAATCTGTATTTGAAAAATAGACGATATACAGGGTGCGCCAGAACTCGCGCCCAGAGAAAATTTTCAAGTAAGGTAAGATACCAGGAACATGAAAAAAATGTTTAAAAAATCCTAACTGTCAAAAAATTTTGACATTTATTTTTTGACATTTGACATTTTTTTTATATATATTTAATGATACTGATGATCTTGTATATGTTTTTTTACAATTATTTAGTAAAAGGACAAAAATTTTGCCAATAAAAGCCACAAATAACATTGAACAGAATTACAATTTAGGATACAGCTTCCTTGTTTCTTCTTTTAATAGCAAAAAAACTTGGAAAATTATTTTTCCAACAGAAATAAATAGAGTCAAAGTGCAAACTTTAAACCCTCATAATTTCGAAATTTTTATAGATAAAATTTTTTTAACATTTTTTCCATGTTCCTGGTATCTTACCTTATATGGCATTTTTCTCTGGGGCGCGAGTTTTGGTGCACCCTGTATAAAATTTGTAGGTGGTTCACTTGGTAACATTTTAGAATTTTTTGGGATTGTTTTTTAAAATCTTTTACATTTGTCCATAGATGAAATGAAACACAAAATAAAAATTTCTGTATAAATTTATTAAAACTGTATGTACAAGCACATAAATAGACTTTTACAAGATCGAAACGAACAGAAATTTGACAAACAAAACAAAAATATGAACAAACCGAATTTTTTAAATTTAATTTTTGTATTTTTTTTTTGTTTAAATTTTATTTTCTAATATGGTTGGCACAGTGAGGAACCAATTCTGGTTCTTCACATGTCAAAGTGTTCTGATCGAAGGCTTTTCCTTCACCGCAGGAAATCAAACGGGGGAATCCATTGACACAAGTGATGAGACGGTGACAGTCACCGGGGACGGCGAATCGAGGATAGGGCCAGAATTTGGCGGCGGGGCTGTTTGAGGGGACTTTCGTGGGGCATTTGAAGCCTACGACAGCTGGAAAAAAATAGCTATTTGCATGAAAAAAATCAGAATAACATTTTATTAAAAGTTAAAATTATTCATGCTTATCTATGTTCTCTATTACATGGTACCAACTGCAAGTTTATGATCGTTGTTTAGGAATTATTGGCTATAGTAATAAGCTTCTAGTTGAAAGTGAATTTAAGAAAGCCAAACTGGCCTAAGTAATAAACTAGAATGTTGACTTAAAGAGTTAAATCTTTTAATATTTATTGAATGTAACAACGTATGAATTTACCCTAGAGTTTACAAAATTATTTTACTTTTCAGGTAGTTGCAAGTAAACAAAAATAACATAAAGTGAAAAATAGGTAGTAATCAAAAAATTTTGAGTTTTTGGAAATTGTGTTTTTGCATATTTTAATAAAAGTAGTAAATCATAATGAGCATTCTAGAAATATCTTAAAGAAAAAAGAATAGTATATTAAAGTACAAGTTGTAAAAGCACAAATTTGAAATTCCGAAACGAGCCGCGAAGCGGCGAGTTGAGGAACAAATGAGTGCTTGAAGAACCTTCTGCAACAGGTGCTTTATACTATTTTTTCTATTTCGCCGCTTTATATCATTTTATAAATTAAAAAACGAAAATTATTTTTTTTTCTAGAGAATTTTGCGACGGTTGGCGACATTTATGTGTGGAATAATTTTAGGCGGCTGTAAAAAATAAAAATAATTTTTATTTTCACATTTGAAAATGAATTGTGAAGAAAGTCCGTCACTAAAATTAAATTACCGCGAACGACTTATTCCAGCACTCAAATGACCTCATTTGGATGCTGGAATAGACTTATTATTCTAACACCGAAATAGAAAAAAAAACTTTTTAGTGCTACCAATAGAAACCCAAGAATTTTTATAATATTTTTTTAATTTTCACTTAGCTGAATTGGATTTTTAATAGTAAGTTTTTTCAAAATATGTTTTTCTATTTTTGAATTTTTGTAATTGCAATGTACTAAAAAGTATTAGGTAGGAACAGCCCTAAAGTTTGTAGTTACTTTCTTCCTCAAAGTAGTGACAATTTTTTTTCTGGTGTTTCAGTTATTGTGTATTTTTTTAATAGTTTTTTTGTCAAAGAAGTCAAATTATCTCAATTACTTCTTGAAAACAACATCATAAAAAATTAGTTGTTTTATTAAAAAAAAAACATGATAGTAGATGAGTTTAATTCACTTTTAGCTGACTTTTGTGTACAAAATTTTTAATTATTTTAACATATAAACCTTACTAACTTGCTGGTACACTCTGTATATAAATTTAATT